TAAGATCGATCAAACGATGAGTGGCACGCGTCACCGATCAAGGGAAGATTGCAGGTTCTTAATTCGAAACGATCTTTCTTCGTTTTCCAAGCTGATAATAATATGGTTTAAGTGTTTGATCGAAGCTTGGATGGGATTGCTCGAGTGGTCTCGGAGATTACACTCGCAAATCTCAGATTTGTTTGAACGCTCGTGTGATATCATCCAAGTCTTTGAACAAGTAGATAATATTATTTTTAATTTCTAATTTCAACTTATGAAATATTTTATTTCTAGGTTTATTGATAATTCAAAATCATTTTGTTATGTTAAATGTACATATAATTCCAAGAAGAAATTACATAGTTATTCTCAATTTTGTCACGTTCTATCATTAAAATTATTCTCTCTGGTAATTATTTTTCGCCTGTACATAATATACGTAGTTTTATATATATATATACTACAAATCTAGTAGCTCCACTGATAAAAAGAATAATCTAACAGTTCCGTTCTCCAATTGAAGAACAATTTCACGAAACAATTTCTTGAGACCACACTTTAATTTGAGAAACAAAAAAAGGAACAAAGAAAGAGGAAGGGAAAGAAACGGGAGACTTATTTCACTCCAATAATTTGCAATCCTTAATGGGTTTCAGATTGCTCGTCGGTTTTTTGTATCCTTTTTCCCAATCTTTTTCAGAATACACGATACAAATAACGTGTTTAAGGCAGGTAATACTGTCTCCCCTAACATGCATTTAAATGCATACACTTCTTCGTGCCGTTTTAGCGACAAATTATTAGGTTAGTACAAGTGAAATGGTCAGATTTTTAATATAAGACTAATTTAATAAATTACAAAATATTTGCAAAGATTAAAATCGATTTATTTGGAATTAATTTGTCGAAGACTAACAGATTTTTGGCTAAGATACGATAGTCGGTTATCACGTAAAATAAAGTTGTATCATATGAAATAGTGACTAAATATTGGACGAAAAAGAGAGGAGAGAAAGGCACAGAGAACTTTCAGTTCTTAAATTTTAATTAACAATAAGAGGAACAAAATTCTCGCTCAGAATTCAATTGAATGAATCAAGCTATTTAAGTTCAAGTAATCCAATTTCAAAAGGGTACCCAATGAAAAATAAAAAGAATGTAATTGATTATAATTACAAATGTGACACGAATACTTAATATAAAATTCTTCTTCTAAAATTCTTAATATAAAAGAAGCTGCATCAAACTTGTAATTTATGTTAGATTGCAGTAATTTAAAATGTTTAATAAAATTAGAAATTTCAAAATTACGTAAACTTTTTATGATTTTATTAAATTTCCAACGATACTAGTTAAGAATTAATAGAGTTGTGCAAGATAGTACTTGGATAGTATCTATCGAATAATATGGCTCGTAACTATGATTTACTCTTCTGTGTCGTATAATAAAGAATTTATATATAGATTTCTCTCTCGGAGCATCTCTGTACGATCCGATAAGCTGAAAATTGCTGCTGCCCGCGGAGAACTTGCGGAGGATACATTAACCTTTATTGATCAGATCTCTACCCGAAGACTGCGATATATATACAGGTGCATACACGTACACTAGCATACTTGTGTACGTGTGTGCGATATATAAATGCAACCCAACGACGGAAATTTTGGATAAACGTATTATCGTAAATACCCTTCGATTTGCCAATCGATGCCGCGCAATTCACATAAATTCCAGACGCAAAGTGATAAAAAAGAGCGAGAGAAAAGTAGCCGACGTACTCCAAGAATATTTATTATATCTGGTGAGAATTATGTTTAGGACACGGGTTGTTAAGATACGTAAGTTCAATTACTTTTGTTCTTTGAAAGAAAATTAATTTGAAAATTACAGCAGGAAAACATAATCACATTTCATTAATTTAACTTATTTTATTAATCATGAAAGAGTATTTTACAATTTAAAAAAAAAACTTCGAAATAAAAAATAAATCTACTTCGACAAAGTAGATTTCATGTTCAAGTTTCTAGTTAAAAACTAATCTCAAAGTACACAACGAGCTATGTAAAACACGATGAAATTACGTGAAAATACTTTATCTAGTCACGATAACAGTGACTCGTTGTCAGTTCATCGCGCGTACGTACAACACAAACCACGTAACACGAAACGAATCTGTAAAACTTGTTTAACATTCTAACCACGATTGTGAAGCTAAACGAGAGAACTCTTGAAAATTACCAGATAAATTTAAAGAATCTTTTTTGGGGGTGGGAAACGGGTTCTCTGATGCCTTTTTTTTTTCTTCATTCTCTTCCGATACGCTTGTGCCTTCGGCGAGATGCGTTTCGAAATTCCTTGCAGGACCAGCAATTTCCATAAAATTATTACAGGAAGCGCACACCGTCGAAATTTCCATAGCGTGGCCATGTCGCGGCCGCGTGAATAAAAAAAAAAGTTCCGCAACGTTTCGGTCTAATCGGGTTTCCGTGTTCTATCGTGATTCAACGGTAGTCTACGATGGAATATTTACAGACTTTTCCACGAGAAAGCCGACCGAATGTAACGTTCTCGCGATTTTCTTATACCAGCGGATTCTTCGATTCCCTGCGAAAAGCTATCGAACGAATTCGCCCACCCTTTCTGCGGATACCGATTTCATGAGCAGACAGCCTTTTAGTTTTGAACGATTTCCGCCTCAGCTTCGGGATTATTCGACGTCTCGGGAATATAGATTTTCTCGCGGTTGAATTAGATGGCTACGTGGAAGAAAATGTTCCTATTTAGCAGAATGTTGGTGTTTCTTTTGAAGCGATCTTTTTACTTTCTTTTTTTTCAGCTTGATTTTAAGAAAGTAAATTTGGCGAGTTATGATAAATGATCTATGACTTGGGACGAGCAAAATTTTTACAGAAATATTTTACTGGTGTAGAGACCAATTTTAAACATTTACTTAATGATAGTTAATACAAAAGATTTTTGTACTTTGAAATTCTCCTTCTAATTAAATTATTTGTGACTAGAACTTAATAAAAAATGACGATTCTTAGCTAGATAATAAAAAGGACATGAACAGTTTTTGTTAAAAATTTAATATATGTTCTCAGTGTTTTAAATTACTAATAACAACTATTGTTGTTTACAATAATAACAATATTATCTACTTTCATATTAATAGTAATCTTGTAATACTATTAAAACTTATATCAATAGAATTCTATATTAATATGTTCTATATTAATAGAACAGAAAATTTTTATAACGATAACAACGAAACTGTATGAATACGATTTTTTATATATTTACAATTCTTTTCTTATATTGGAATATTTAATTATATTAAAATGCCCCTGTAATGTACATTTGTAATATAGAATCAAAGGAAACATACAGTTAACAAATTAAGTACATTCTCCTTGAGAAATAATACGATTTAGAATAGCATTACTGTAAATCCTCAAAAAAGTTACATACAAAATATAAAGAATATAAAACTATAAGAAAAATTATATTGATTCTACTTAATAAAAATCAGTAGCAAAAAATTATTTGCCAATACTGTAAACACAAATCTATAAAATTTTAATTTTCGTATAGGTCATGATCTTTTCCAAATTAAATTAAAATTTGCAAAAGCATACTAAGCGTACTAAACCGACTAGTATATCAACTGATATTAGAATCAAGTGTCAAAAATGCCTTTTTCTTCCACTAACACATTTTTATTTAATTTGTCCTCAGTTGGTAATCTCCATTTTGAGTGATATATCTCACCCATGGTAGTGCCTGATATCCACTCTTTTCAATTATTTTTAGATAGCGCACTTGGATTCCTGAAGTAGTAAAATATGGAATTTCAAATTTCACTTGAATTGGTGGCTTTCCTTCTACATCTTCCCCAATGACAGATGGTAGACCAAAGTGTGCTCTCATCAAATATTCTTTTCCACCAGGGAATGACTTAATAAACCAAGTTATAGCACTTTGCTCTGGAGAATATTTAACACTGCCAATAGTAGTCTTAAATTTAGGAGAATCCGCATCATTGGGTACTGGAATTACTATTTCTACATTGTTGGCTGTGGAACGTCTCTTAAACTGTGATCTAGCTTTTATCATGTATTCCACTCTGCTATGGGCATGCCTTTCAATGACAGATTCAATCCATATCAGAGGCTTTACGTGGGTGTTTAATCTATAAGACATCAATTCAAACTCTCCATCAGGTGGAATAAAGGAAATTGTCCTATCATTTTCGAATCTAGACAGCCTGACACATTGATGGAATTTCACATCTTCCAACTCAACAGATTTGGACTTTCCACGTCCTGTAGATTCAAACAACACTTTGTCATTTAGACCAAGCCTTAATTCTGGCATTCCAGACAAGTAAACTCTCATCTTTATGGCACCAACAATTTCAGAACTCAATACATTTCCATTAGCATTTGCTAGAAGGTTCACAGATTCTATGACATCTAGAAATACTTCGTTTTTGCGGTACTTTATTCCTTCTGATCTCCAAGATACTGCATTAGTTACAGCCATAGGAATGCGTGGTTGAATTTCAAGCTTGTGGCCTTCTTGAGTAATGTACTCTTGTAATATCTTACTGTCTGTGGTTTGTGGATAACCAAAATCTATTAATTCATCTAGGAGCTCATAAATGACTACAAAATTGTCTCTTATACTCTCCTCTTCAAGTTCCTTGAAATATTCTTGCATCACTTGCACCAGTTTGTGTAAGAATACAAATACTAAGGAAATGTTTGCATTCTTCTTTGTAGTAGACACAATATACAGATTATTATACTTGATGTACGCATATGTACATTCAGCAGTTTGAATAATCGGAGTAAGATTCCCTTCCTCCTCGCGTTCCATTACTAGAGGCATGAATTTTTCTATAACACCCGTTTCTATGTCTCCGCGATAATTTCGAGAAATCAAGACCTTCCCTTTTACGTCTAAGATATATATTGCAGAAGTCGACATCTTGGAAATTTATATTACTGTAATAAAAAAAAACCCTACCATTATCCTATAATAAATCAATCATTACTTGAAATATAAAATTATGAAGAACAAGGAGAAAAATAACACACGAAACCATTCTACAAACCATCTGTCGAAAAGATGTAATAGAGGTTATGTTATCAAATATAATGTTTTGTTTAATTAAGAAGTGAAAGATTTAATGCAAAGTTTAAAGTACAATGCATAAAATTTATATCAAAATTGTAATGCATGGAAACTTTAAATAATCGGATATAAAGTGAATAGAAAGTATAACTTGATATTGAGGATATGTCAAAAGGATTGAATATAAATTTCAGAGAAAAATTCACCGAATATATAGGTACTTACATATTCTTCCAATTGGTTATGCAGTATTAGCCTTTTAATTATTTACATAAAAGAGAATTTCTCTTCTAGAAGAATGATAGAAGAAACTTTATTGACAAAAACCCTCCCCACCCAACTGCCAATGTACTACTGTGAGCTACCCTGAAGTTGCTCAGTACTCTCTATAATCGAGGCGCATGCGTTGCCAACTTCGTGTTGGATATCGACCAGCTCCTCTTCCGCGTCATTCAAACACTTTATAAACGGCAATATTTAGTAGTAGCTATTACTCTTTTTTTTTTTAATTTTAGAATTCGCTGACGCTCGAACTTTATTGCTACAATAAAAAAGATAATTTAATAACTCCGGGAAGAGAAAAATGGCGTCAATGATACTGCTGAATAAACGAATTGTAAAATTTATGTTGACTTTAAATCAAATTAGAAATATTTTTTTTGTTGATTCTCATTATTTTTGATAATCTAATGTTGTTGCTTAAAATGTTAATAAAATTTTCATTAATGTTATATTAAATTAATATTATACTAATCCATGGATATATATACTGTATAAGTTGCTCACTTTTTAAAAACTGGCAATACAAAAATTTATTTTAAAATATAGTAAATTAAATTATTAATGTAAATTAAATTTCTTTTGCTTAATAATAGTTAACTAATTAAATCAAACAAATATACTTACTTAAACAAATCGAGTAATCATATTCAGTGAAAACTAATCACTAAACTTTTTATGCAGTTCCATGTTATTATAGATTTTAATATTTATAAATCACAAATAAAATAGAAGATAAAAATTATTTACAATAAGTATTCAAATATTTTAATTAATCAATGTATATACTCTGTGTGTGCGTGCGTGCGTGCGTGCGTGCGTGCGTGCGTGTGTGTGTGTGTGTGT